CCTTACGGTTGTACGGCAATTAAGCGAGATGGGCGAGATGGCCTAAATGGTTGAAGCGCCAGTTTACTGGCCGGAAGCTCCGTGGTTCGAATCCCACCTCCGCTTCTCGACTTCCCCTGTCTAGGCTTGGGCAACCTGGCAGTATCCCAGCCCTCGTGCTTCCTTCGTGTGGCATGGCAGCTAGGCACCGGAAGGGTGCTACAGTTGAACGCTTTTTTTCTTACGGCAATGAAGCATCAGTGCCAACACTGATGTTTTTGTCTTTGACGATGATGATGATGATGATGACAGCTCCATGTCACATCAGGCGTCGCATGTTGTCACCATCTCAAGTGGTTAGAGCGCGAATTTAATGACCGGAAGGCCCGTGGTTAGAACCCGACCTCTGCCTCTCGACTTCCTCTGTCTAGACTTGGGCAACCTGACAGTATCCCAGCCCTCGTGCTTCTTTCGTCTGGCATGGCAGCTAGGCACCGAAAGGGTGTTACAGCTGAACGCTTTCGTTGTCACCAGCCGGGTATCCTCACTTGTTGCATACAGTAGGGCAGTTAAGCGAAAACATGTTACTGCCGATGCCTCCCTTCTTACACTTTCACGTACTGCCTCTTCTACCCTACCCCACCAAGTGCGAATACTCTGCCACCACTAGGACTGACTGCTTTGTTGGCCACGCATCACGCTCATCTTCAGCTTCTGTGCGTTCGTTTTTATCCACAACCAAAAGCATCTCGAAGTCTGTTTCCAAATCCCGAAGGCCGGTCTACGTGACTGCCTTTAATGTTCGCACACAGAAGCTAGCAGGACAGCTAGCGTCCGCTGCTCGTATGCCGGATTTCCTTTGCATAGCCGTATTCTATCTGTCAGAGGGAAGGGTATAGAATGCAAGTACACTAATCGAACTGAATCCCCCCTCGTCCTCTTCCAGGTTCCGGCTGCGCACCTCTGGTGATGCGGAGGCCACCGCAGCTGGATATGTCGGGGTGGGCACTGTATTGAATGAGTGGGAAGAAGCGCCTCGGCTTGATTGGATACCCGTTGATAGTAGCCTCCGCGTTGTTCCCTCGGAAACGTCAATAAAGAATCTAGAGAAAGTGAGGTCTTTGAACGCTGCTTACTGTGCCTGCTTACGCCCCACGTGACTGCAGCTCTAAATCTACCGATGGCAGTTTCTGTGACGCGCTAGGTGCTCTTTTACAACGGGCTCAGACGTCGTTGGTTGCTGGTGACACGAACGCTGAAGTGTGTAGACTAGACGCTGCTGAGGCCCGATGGGGTGGTTATCTTGAGTTGCATACGCGAATTAGGGAGAACGTAGAGCGCTTGCTCCAGACGTGTGTCGATCACAAACTGTTTCTTTGCAGTACTAATTTCCGAGACAGCGAAAATCACTTGGCAACACGTTGCTCACTAACGAACCAATTGAGAATCCAAATAGACCACATCGCCATCAGTTGCTGGTGATGAGGGTCGGTCACTGCGTGCCGCTTCTTGTGAATATCAGGGTGGACTCCGACCATACACTTGCCCGCTGCTGTCTTTCATTATGTTTTTACTATCCATGTCAAACGCGCACACCCCAATCAGCCATTGATAAGCTGTGGACACAGAATGCAAACGAACCTTTCACAAGCGGCCCCTCGAAAGCTTGCCGGATGGTCTAATATCAGATACTTACGGTCACTGGGAACGAATATCCAAAGCGCCACTCAGAGCTGGAACTTCTGTTTGCGGTGCAACCCACGCTACCTCGTCGAAACATTGGAGTTCTATTGAAAACATGGGTTTGCTGAGGGGTCGGTGACAGATTTCTCCTGACCGCAAGCACGACTCAACCGGACGCCAATTGAAACTGAATGTCCATGCAGATTGAGATTGGTGGACCAGAAAGGCCGAAGAAAAGGGAGCTGTGAGAAAGTATCGAACGTCCACAGGTTGTTCTACCTGATTACCAGGCTATAGTAGGAGCTACTTTGTTTTGTGGATGCGAGACGTGGCCCGTTCAAGCAAAGGAACTGACGTCTTCAGGTGTTCGATAACCTTCGGCTCAGAAGCGTAACTCGTGTAGACCGGTGTAGGCGAAGCCATAACATGACAATTAGAAAGCGAGTGTTTGGTTGTGCAACAAAGACTTCAATCGAAGCATGGGCTCAGCACTTAAAGCAGCTTTGATTATGGCATTTAGTGTGCATGCTGAATTATTGTTTGCCGGAAAGAATACTATCTTCAGTACCCAATCTAGAGTGGAGGAAACAGAGGTGACAGATGTTTGGCTTGGTAGATGGGTATGAAAGCGATAAGGAAACGTCCTGGTGCTGTCCGAGCGACTCGCCGGCTATGATATGAATCACATGATCCCAACCGTGTATAGTTCGAGATGCTAAAAGGTATGGTTGCTAATTAATGTCACTTTTCATCCAGATTGTCTGAATGTGTGCAATAAACTCGGCTAATGTCAAGTCCCTTTCTCATCCACTTTAAGCAAAGTATGACTGTGCGACAACGAAACACCAGTGTCGTCGATCATAATGGGGATAAGGATGGCCGTCTGCGGGTCGAAACTAACTCTTTTTCCTTGATCGTACCTAAATAAGCTTGAACAGCGCGACAGAATCTCAGCCCCTGAACTTCCTTCCAGTTAAACGGTAGCTGTTTGGAGATGATTCTCGCGTGCTGGTTAATACAGATTAAGAAAACTCGCATCGAACAGGAATTGGTTATTCTCTCGCAACCCTACATACAAGATGACTGGCCGTTCCAACCCTTCCAAATGAGTGAAATGTCACCCTCCATTATTCAATGATTCTGTGTGGATCCACAAAGAGCTTCATCTCTGAGGTGAGCGGGATTGAAGTTCCGCGATCGCCTCGAGGCTACTCAGTCACCTGATGACTATGTGAAGTGCACGAGAGCACGAATAATAAACGTAGGTAACGGATTACGAAGGCCGATTGACGAAACTGTCAATTACCCGTCCCAAGCAGCCATCCGGATACATAAAAAGGAGTATGAAGGGTGGTGATTGTGTTCACTACATGAATTTCTATGAATTAGGGCAGTCTAATTATGATGATACCAAAACGCCTCAGTCTACGACGTCTAGGATACTGTACCAGGGAAACCTATCCCAACTACTCAGATGCGACGATCCGGTTTTGCAAGTCGATTACTTTGTCCAGGATACTAGTAGGAATCCACCTCCAGGACTGGATGCATGTAAAAGCACAGAACCTTTGAGAGCTCTCCTAAACATTAGCACTAACTAGAATAAGTGTCACGCGCCCGGCTGCCTGTAATATAGCCTTTAAGGAAGTCAACATTACAGGAAAGAAGCTTCCTAGACACCTAAACCCTACGGACTTTTACAGTAAGAGACGTTTATAAGGTATTCTATCATATACCAAGCTGTATTAAGCACACTCCGCCTGATTATTCGCCCCAAGATCTTACGAAAGCTTTGATGACTTCACACACGTTTGTAGCTCACTGAGCTCGAAGCTCGTAATCGGCAGACTGGCATCCGATTTCGACAGTCAGTCTAAAAAAGTAACTCAAGGGGTAGTGCAGCCGGTCAGAAACCAATCAGCCAGTCAGTGGATGCAGTCGAAGCCTGGAGGAGGTTGCATCCAGTCCTGGATGAGCGTTTCTAATATCCTCCTGGACAAAAGCAACGACTTGCAAAACCGGGCCATCTTATCTAAATAGTTGGGTCAGCTTGCGAAGATACTATATACCGTACGTCAAAGACTGGTAAGGTTAGATTTGGCGTCATCATCATGAAGTAGACCGCCCTCATTCGCAGAAAGTAAACTGACGATTACCTGTCTTCCCACACCGCCTCATGTATCTGTATAGCTGTGTGGGATGGTATATGGAGAACTATATGGTTCCCTCAGCTGTAACACCCTTTTGGTACCTAGCTGTTATACCATCTGAAAAAAGCAAGAGGGCTGAGGTGATGGCACGACGCCCAACCCTGGAGAGAAACGATCGAGATGTCAGAGTAAGGTTCGAAACAATGATCGTCTGTCCAGGAAGTTCGCGCATTAACCACAGAGTTATCCCCAGCTCAGTTGATCAACGAACTCGATAGGACTCCAGAAATCTTGAACTAATGGATAATCGACGAAGGGGACAAAAGTCACGAGTATACACAGACGAAAGAATCATTTCATGTAACAAGGGACTTAAGATGATGGGGACGGAGGACACAATGATAAAGTAGGCCTAACTTCACACACAAACCTGTCACCGTCTCCAGCACAACAGTACATTGATTGGCCATTCTCCGGTGGGCCTAACAGGTTCTCAGACGAAGAATGCGACATCGCATCATACGCAGCAGCGGGCCAAACCGGAAACTCACGCGCTATTGGTCGGCAGTTCAGCGACTCGCTGGGTTCGTCAGGTGTGATAGAATACCCTCGAACACTCGAGTGTAGGATTTACGGATGCCTGCTCACGCGGGAGAGAGGTAAATCCATGTTCACGGATTGATGCACATGATCGAGGTTTTCGCCAAAACTTCCGGGATATGTTTTGTTCTTCTCGTTCACTGACGGCCGTTCACCTGAAGGGCACACTGCTGGTTAAGTTCTCAGAGCGGGGAAGTGAGCTTGCCAACGCGAGGACTCGCATAGAAAGTGTCCAAGAGTTCTTGCAACTGGGTGCTAGATAGAGCATGGATAACTGTCGGAGGAAGGTTATTCCACACAACAACTGTCCGGAAGTAGAAAAATATGTTGAAGAAAACAAGTGTGCCCTCTCACTTGAAAAGTATTCACGGATTCACGGATTGATACACAGAATCGAGGCTTTTGCCCAAGTTGCCCGGGTCGGTTTTGTTCCTGTCGGTCAGTGGCTGTCGTTCACCTGAAAGGCAAAAGTGAAAAAAAGGTGTAGCACTGCTCTTTATGTTCTCAGCGCGGGGCAGTATGCTTGCCAGCGCGAGGATTCGCATAAATAAATGTCTAATAGTGTTTTAAATTGGGTTCGAGAAGGAGCGTGTACAACCGTCGGAGGAAGGTCATTCCACGCAGCTACTACCCGAAATGAAAAAAAGTTTTGTCTAACGGATGTGTGTGCCCTGAGCTTGAAAATTTTCTTACTATGTCCCCGCCGGGTGTTTGCTGGGTCAACGGTAAAAAACCTGTTTGCCAAGCTTTGTTCAAACTGGGCGTAAGTAAGAATTAGGTCCACTCGGAGGCGACGGTACTCCAGGGGAAAGAGATCAAGCATCGCGAGACGCGTCTCGTAGTCCACGGATTTGAGGCCTGCAACCATTCTCGTGGCGGCCCGCTGGACACGCTCAATGAGGGTGACGTCTTTCGTACGTCCTGAGTAGACAACTTGGTTGGCGTACTCCAGGAGGGGTCTGACGTAGGCCCCATAGAGCATCCTACTAAGAGAAAGAGGTCAAGCACCGCGAGACGCGTTTCATAGCTCAAGGATTTTGGGCCGGAAACCATTTTGTAGCAGCTTTCCGGGGACGCTCAATAAGGGTTACATCCCTATTGCGTTGGCATATTCAGGAAGCGGTCTGACGAAGGCCCCATAGAGTAGTCAGAAGTCCATGCTAGTAATACGGCGAAAGTTTGCCGAATTATCCGTAGAACGGCGAATCTTTGTGATTCGATTTATCATTTTTCAATAAGAATGACATGTTGGAAGAGAGCCCCTTCATTTTCGGCATCTATCCTCGTGAAGTTTGGCCCATTTTCACCGTACACTTTAAATGAGTCTTCTGAGTGTCCACGAGATGACATGTGGATACAACTTCTGCCCTTCGTAGAAAGTTGCTAGTCCAGCAGGCACTGCTTTGTGCTGCGGATATTCATTTGGATGCCACTCGTGTTGGAAATCCAGGATTTCAAGTCGTCCGAAAAAGTAGACATAGACTTGAAAGAACGCCTGGAAGGTCGTTGGCGTAGATCAGAAACAGCAGTAATCCTAAAGCGGAGCAAGTAGACATGACTTGAAAGAACGCCTGGAAGGTCGTTGGCGTAGATCAGAAACAGCAGTAATCCTAAAGCGGAGCCTTGAAAAACTCCAATGGAGACTGCCGCCGGATAAAAGTAGATTTAGCAATGTTCTGGCAACGTTTGCGTTGATAATATCAAGTTTTCGGTCCTGAAATTATTTAAAATGGCGCGCTTCTGGATGCGTTCCATCACCTTGCACGGTACGCTGGTGAGACCGGAGGCCTGTAGCTGCCGGGTGATAGTCGGTCACCAGTGTTGTAGGCTTCTGTGAAAGTCGCCTTTTTCTTAGCAGTAGGAGGTTGCTTTCGTGAAGTAGCTGACGAAACATGCGGTAGAAGTGCTTCGTCAGTGTAGACAAGTTTCCTCCAAGATCTTTGGATAAGCTCCGTCAATCCACCACGCGCAGAATTGGTTTGACTTGCGCAAGCTTTTATGAATGTCTCGTTCTACGAAGAGCAAGTTGTTTAGAGACCGTTTGTAGCTAGGCCTTGACAAGATTGGGCGTCACGAGATCGCTGGGGCGGGATACGGGCCTGTATCCCTCTTCTGCAGCGATGGCTCATGTACCTAAAAAGCACATTTTTGTTTTTCCCGGGTTCAACCTAACATAGTAGCTTATTTTCATGTGTTCCATTTTACAGCACGCCAGCTCGCCCTGTATGTATCCTGTAGTCAACTTTTTTAAAAATGGTTCAGACCTCTTTTCCAGAAGATGCCAAATCATTTTAGGTAGCTTACGGTCCGTCAGGCTGCGTATTGATCTTTCGGGAAGAACATGGTGTCAACCTCGTTCAGCTTTCAGCACAGATTTTCCATGATAATTCACCCGCCGAAGCTGGTCCCAATGGAAATCAATAAAAAAGAAGGGCATTCCAGGGAGGTCTGCACGGCAAAAGTTTCTAATCCACGATTTTGATCCGGGATTTATGACCCAGTAGCAAACGAAATTAAAGATAACCACACAGTGTTAACTATGTCTCTGTGGGGCGTTAATTAAAACCGAATCGACGTAAAGTCTTTCGTTAGTGACGAACAAAATCAGGAGGTATGGTAGTTGGCCTGCGCGGTATCTGGTGGGTGCGACGACATGTTGAGTCTAAACGCCCCGTTTGAGGACTTTTGTCAACGTCGCTGCAAAATGACCACTGGCCCCAACTGATCGGATCTCCACCCAAGTGGCCTTGGGGGCGTTAAACTGACCTGACCACTCTGTTACAACAAGTGGTTATTACAAAACTTCCAATTAGGAAAAATGAACCGATCAATGAGGAGAAAGGGCTTGTAGTCTGTCGTATCCGACGCGCAATAACACCAAAAGTGGGACAGCTGTCTATGATAAACTCCTAATCTTGACTTTCATTCCTCAGCTTGGGGTTATCTGGCAGTTGGCTGTATGATTTTGGAGATTTTGGCCGAGGGTGTTCTCAAAAGAATGCTGAGTCATATTCCAGAAAATTGACAATTTTGTAGATTGGTGCATCCAAATAGGACCCTAGAAACGTGATGAGATGGTCGTGTTTAATTAATCGAGGAATGGTGCCACCCAGCAAAGCATTTGATCGTCTGAGACTTTAAGCAAAATAATCATGTCTACACAGTTGTGGCGCTTAAGCTTTCGGCTTGGATGCCTTTATCGTTTTCTGATTTTGACGGCTTCAATACGGCTCCATTCTGTGCTGCTGGCGTTGTGATTTTGTAGATCACGTTTGTCGACAAAACGTTTGTCATGGACAGGCAGACTCCACATACACAGGCTCCCAAAGCTGTGTTCGGGCATGATGTAACGCTGTGCTATTTTTACGCGCGACAAGCCATCCGGAAGCACGTGCGTTTTGTTGCGTTGCTCTTACTTATGCAGGAGATTTCTGACAACAGCCGGTGGACATTTCACTGCATGGCCCGCTCTGATAACGCAGCTGAGTAATAATTCGTGCACTGAATGATAGTCGCGTTGATTTCGCCAAAATTCACAGATCCTGCGGAGAAGCCACCTCGGGTTTGTCTCCTGTTTACTGCTCACTGGAGGGAAACAGCCACGTTCTACGTGTGGTTTTCTGGCTGACGACGCTGTCAATCATATTCCCAGGCACATTTGGACGTGCACGCTAAATCTGATATGCCGTTAGGCAGATCATTTCAACGCGGTTAGTAACAGTCACAAACCCCGAAATGTCCTCAGACGGCGAAGACCTCGGCTGAAACTTGCATGAGCACCGTTTTACTAATTTATGTGACTACCCTGTGTACACCTATTATCGGTATTCGGACGCCACTCGTTCCTCTGCGGTAAGTTGATTAATCAACCATAGAGCGCTAAGGTCAGTTTTCAATCCATCAACGGTGGCTTGCCGAATTTATTCTACCAGAAGGAGATATATATCCTATCTCTTACCCCAAAGCAAGAGCCGTCAACAGTAAAAGTTCGCACACAAAGCATGAACGGCTGCTTGACAAACTGAAGCCTCTGGAAGCACGTAAGTCTACTAGGTGCACGAATCATCGGGTTGTACAAACGCAGGGTGATGTTGCTGCAAAAGTCAGCCAATGCACAGGGCAGACGGCCTGAGGTGTTTAAAGACAAATGTTTCCAACCACGGCGGCGTTCTTCATCAGAGGACGCTGTTCTCTCTGGTCTCTTTGGCCAGCCAACTAGCCCTGCTGATTGCTGGTGTCCGCGAAATCAAGTCCATATTGCATGCATTACTGCGGCAGCAAGCCTTCCCAGTGTGTGAAGAAAATCTTCAGATGCGTCCACCAGATGAGTGCGTGCGTATCAGTTAAACTAATTCCCTTAGTTGTCGGTCCATCACTTGATCGCTGCCTTTGGTCTATCGAGCGATCAGCCAAAAGAGCTTGTTTTAATGTCGATCTGGATCGATCCATGAAGGCTAAGCTCCAGCGTACCCCCTAAGACAGTCGCAATAAAACTCTTCAACTTCGGAGCAGATAGAGACTGATAATTAGAAGCTTTATTGAAAACATACGTCTTGTAGAATTTTTTATGTCCCCGGATGACCATGCTTTTGTCTGATCGCTCATGCATTGACCTCAAAGTCCCAATTCGTGGCTAAGTTCGGAGGTTAGTCAAACGGGATATGGCAGTGCCGCCCCATCACTGCACTGACATACTTCGGTTTCTGGGCAGCCCCGTAACGGACGTCATGTTTGAGGTGACTGAGCTGGGGTGTTTAGCTCTGCGGGCAGCGTAAATTTGAGCTGGCCAAGGGAATCCGCGGAGGTAGAACGAAGCCGATGCAAGATACCGGGTATTTTTCTTGTCTGGTTGGCGATCGCTTTTGATGCAGGCCGCAAGCCAGGTGGGGCGGACAACAGTCAAACAAGACCATAAGACAAAGTGCGTTGATACGTTGGAAGAACTCAAATTTAACACAATTTTTAGGTGACAACAAGT